AAAAAAAAACGACTACAACGGCGTAGGAGGAGTCGAACACCACCTACCGAATTCGAAATTCGCGAACGAAAGCTAGTTTGTCGATTTGTTGGTGGTGGTGGTGGTCAACACCCCAATGTTTAGTAGGTACAAGTACTTTTGTTGCTTTTTGGTAAACTATGTATGTATGTACAATACATTTGTTTGGCGGCGGTGGCAACGATGAGCTCTCAACGTTTTTCACCAACTACTGCAAAGTTTGAAGCTGTTGCTCGCAATGCTATTGTTGTTGCTGTGGGTTAACTTCATTGAGCCGACGACATCGGTGGTCTTATCAGAAGCTACGATTTTGTATGAACCTGTCAGAAATGGCATTGGAAGCCATTTATTATGAGCATTTGCTTTCGTATAAACACTTGCACCGGCGTACGCGTGTAAACAAATGTGCTAGTGGCATTCGATCGCCGGCTGTTGGCCTTTTTTTTTTTTGGTTAGGGTTTGCTTGGCGTACAGGCTGGTGTGTGTGTGGGGTTCGTTGTTGCGCCGGTGGCGATTTTGCACTTCCTCCTCCTTTATCGTTTTTAAATAAATGAATTATTAAGTGGATGTGCATAATTATGGTTTACTTTGCGCTCTGCCCAAAAGAAATGCCCATTTTGTTAAATGCTCACACAATCGAATGCGACTTTAAAATATTGAAGTTAAGTGTAACGCCCAGAAAGAGTGTTACTCACTGCTCTACTATTTCGGCTCGTACTGCTAAAAACTTGTTTAAATACTTTGAATTTATACATAGGGTGCAGTACTCTCATACAAAAAAAAAATCTATACTATTTTTCCATCGGAATCATACAATTTATTATATTTTGAGGCTTCCGCCGAAATATTTCAGAAAAATATTAAGATTTTCCTAAGCTGGATCGATTTGAAAATACCTCCAAGAACGGATTTTTTTTTAATAATAAATAAAATTAGTTTAAAAAATACTTTTTTTCAATAAAATAGAAAAATAGAAACGTTTAATTTTAAAAGGTCTGCCTAAAAAATGTTAACAGTTTTATCAATGAAATCAAAATAATTAGATTTTTTTAGATATTTTCAAATCAGCCCTGCTCATTTAATTCCTAATATTTTTCCAAAATATTTCGGGGGAAGTCTTAAAATATAATAGATTTTATAATTTCTGTGGAATAACCGCAACTTTTTTTGATGATGCTCCCTAATGTAGATGTGTATATATAAACAAGTAAAGCACATTTTTAAATAGTAGGGAGAAAGTGAGACCCAAGTTCCTTTAAACATCTTTTTACAATCAGATTTTTCGTTAACAGGTACTCTAAATCGATATTACCGTTATTAATACATGCAAACATTTTTGTTTCCGGTATTAATGTCGATATTATTTACGATATATTCATCTATATCGTGATTACAATTAAAATATTATCCTTTGTGATACCACGAGAGCTGAACGGAGACCATTAATCTAGTTGGCGAAACGCCGTGAGCCGATTACATAACTACGAATGCGGCTAAATGCAATGCCTGAAAGATCCTCAAGGTTGGTCATGAAGTGCGTGCCAAAATGTTTCCAGTTAAGATTCCCAATCTTACCGCGCGAATACCAATTGCACGACGAAAAAAAAGTCGAGGCTTTGCAAGCATAAGGAGCTTCTTTGATCGCCCCCGATCCACCCCAGGCCAGAAGGATCTTTCAATTGTGCATATCCTAGTTTTAGCCCAGCGATCGCTGAGTTTACATGAGGCCTAACCGTCCAAGAGTGCACCGAAGGAGGAAAGAGGCGTCGCTAGCTATCTCATACCTGGTGACAACGTTTCAAGAGTGCCTTCCTTGCCAGGTCATCAGCCATGCAGTTTTCCGCAATGTCACTTTGACCCGGCAACCAAATGAGCCTGATTAGGAAGTACTCATACAAATTTTGGCTGAATTGTCGATATTATTATCGATATATTTTAATAAAAACCTATCGACGAAATTGTCGATTTATGTAATTGTATTATTGATAAAATAATGGCCGCTGTGGTGTAGTGGTTAGCAGTGTGCACTACCATTCCGCAGGACCTGGGTTCAAGCCCAGTTTACGACCAATATCCAAAAATCTATATCTGTACATAGTATAAAGGAAAGTCGGGACTCTTTGTACGCGGTAATTTTGAAATCTACTGATCAGATTTTGACGAGATTTTCTCTAATACACTCTGTATCGATAGGGGAGTGACCTTTTTTTACTGAGAACTTTAATAGGGTTGCCACCTATCTATAAGATCCGCACCGTTCGTTGGATTACAAAAAGTGAGGTGTCAAATGAAAGCGATAGGCCTCTAGAAAAGCACTAATGTCTTATTTTTTGAATAGGATTGCCAACTGTTAAGAAAATTACTATATTCAATCCTAATGAGCGTAAGCATCAGTTCTGCACCACTGTCACTGTCAAATGAAAAGACTTAGCCTCTAGATGTGTAACAATGTATTATTTTTCTGAGTAGGGTTGCCACCTGTTTAAAAACTTTAAGATCTTCACCGTTCGCTTTATTACAAAAAGTGAGGTGTCAAATGAAAGGGATTGGCCGTTAGATAAGCGGAAATGTTTTTTTTTTTTTTGAGTAGCGTTTCCACCTGTTAAGAAAGTTACTTTATTCAATCTTAATAAGTGAAGGTATCAGTTCTGCGCCGTCACCTTCAAACGAAAATACTTAGCTTCTTGATTTGCAAAAATTTATTATTTTTTTGAGTAGGGTTGCCACCTATTCAAAATTGCTATCTTATCCTTACGTAGTATAAAGCAAAGCCTAGATTTTTTGATTTAATCTCGAAAACTACTGAACGAATTTGGATGAGATTTTGTTTATATTTATATTCTGAATCGATAGGGGTATTATCTTTAGAGCTTATAATTTCTATAGGGTTGCCACCTGTCTAAAAACTTATAAGATCCTTGCGTTGCATTTCAAAAAGTGAGATATCAAATGAAAGCGCTTGGCCTCTAGATCAGTGAAGGGCACACCTACACAATCACATGTTGAGCATGAGCGAACGACTCGGCCATTCAATCGATTACTTCCCCGTACGTTTGACTAAAAAATGAGATACCAAGTGAAAGGAGGCCTCGCACATTCAAGGCCGGCTAGTAAAAAATAAAAAAATAAAAAAGGTTTTTTCTTATAACTGTCACTGAAACTGTAGGTGAAAATCAAGGCGCCCGCCACAAATCGAGAAGAAGCCCGGCCAGACACTAACATATTATGTAAGCGCATATCTATTATTATTGTTATTAATTTTCGATCATAACCGCTTAACTTATGTATGTGGGAATATTTTAGTCAATAAAAGGGTTTTCCGATTAGAGTTACATCCTTGTATGCATCTAAACTTTTAACATTACAGTTATGGGTATCAATAAATATGTATATCTAAATACAACGCTTTAAGAAACTAATAATAATACGCCTATTAAAATCTTATCGCTATGCATATCTACCTAAACAATTTTTAAGACACAAAGAGTCAAAAAAAAAAATCTACAGGCATAAGAACATCCGTATGCCCAATTGTATATATGTACATACCTTAGGTTAGTTGTGATTAGCTGCGGCAGTGCATGTTACGATTAAATTAGGCTGCTGCGGGCGCTTGGCTACTTGATGCCTGCAAGTCAATTGAGATGCTCCAACGGCTTACAGATAACTCCTGGGTTTATAGTCCAAAAATACTCAGATTTAAACACACCCCGTTGGTTGGTCTAATTGAGCTTATAAAACAGTTCCCTGAAACTCTAGGAAAATCCTTTCGCCAAAGGGGTAATCACTCACCAAGTCCCAACGACACTGTAGATATGTATATGTAGAAGGATTTGGAAAACATTCAACAATGAAAATTTCAAGCCTAATAACCAAGCAACTGAGGAGGCGGGATGCACCTCTACTCCTGAGGCGCTTAGCACTTGCATACAGATGGCTCGAAGACTTTGAAAAGCATCGAACTGCTGTAATTATAATACTTATTATCAATATAGGCGACCTTGGTCCTCTTCGCTGCTGTAGAATACATACTTTGAAGTGAAATCTTCGTGAAGTCCTGAATTGTGTTGGGAGGTTGAACGATATGTTAGTATACGAGCGTTTGTAATAACAAACAGCTCCAAACTCTATAAAAATGGTGATAAGGCTGATTGAACTAAACTTTCGCACGAACACAATTCTTTGTTGATTAAAAATTAATTAAACTCTTTGAGATATTGCGCGCGTGTAAAATTAGAAAACCGAACTGAACCACCTGAGAAAATCACTACAATTAATAATCATATCCGGCTGATTCGTACCACTGCTTTGCCGACAAAAAAATTGCCTTCATCCGCCAAAGTTGTATCTGCGTTTCGCGCCATCTCTCGCACACTAGCTAAATGCTAAAAATGCATGAGCACTGCTGGTGTGGGACTAAAATACGCTTGGCAAATCGGTTCGGTACCAAGATGAAACGGTTTGGGATTTTTACCGCTGTCAAAAAATGCAACCATGGTAAGCGAAAAATGCAACCATGCGTTATGAATGTCACAAAAACGAAAAACAAAAACCAAGGCGAATTTGCTTTCATTCGCCTTGCATATAGCGATGTGCTTTTTGTTTCTTTGTAGCAGCGCAACAGCTTGCTTGGCTGCTTATTGGAGTGCTTGTGAAAAATAAAAAATATTGAATCGAATTAGTGAAATTGCTGATAATTAATAAATAGATCGTTGTGAGTTGTGAACTGCGGCCATTACAAATGGAAAGTTTACGAATTTTTCGTATCGAAGTGTTAAGAATTCCAAGAAACATGCTTTATTCATTTGCGAAAATGTCGAATGGTTTGTTTATTTGCGCCCACGCTGAGTGCGTTTAAACAAAAGTGCTATATATGTACATACATTTGATTGTAGTTGATTAATACCGTGTCTAATACCAGTCAATGAATAAATAAAAGAAATATCCGATAAAAAATACAAGTTCAAAGCACAGAACCAGTTCAAAGTGTATTTGTAGCGAGTGGTGCATTGTGCGTGTGCGTATTGGGAAGTGCAACTATAAAAATTATTAAATAAAAAAGTTCATCTACACGAAGAAAGTGTGTGCGTGTACGCGCGAACAAATCGACTAGAATGTGCGATAATGACGAATCCATTTCGTCACAGCACCAATCCAATCTGAATCTGAATACTAATATGATCGGTGATAGCATTGAGCCTGGAGAGCTGCTGCTACCTGCAAACAGTCAAAGCCAATTGGCGCAAGACGCCATTTCCTTATGCAGCTCAGAAGCATCTTTCGATCAGCAGCTGCATCAGACCACACAATCGCTTGCTATAGCGAGTTCCATGATGGCCGGTTTTGGTTACGACCCCAGCAACAGCAACATTGTTGGAGGCATCAATGGTGGCGGCAGCAACAGCGCCGGCGCTGTTGGCACGAACTGCATAACCGGCACCAATAGTATTTTACGTTATAATGATTTAAACATTTTCGGTTCAAGTGAGTCTGTGGGTGTAATGGCGACGGTTACGCCTACGGCCACAACACCATCGCTGGCACCACAAATTGCCGCTGCTGTGAATACGGTCAAGATCAATGTAGAGGAACTGCTGCGCGAGAATCGTGCTTTGCGCGAAAAGCTCAAGGAAGTCACTGCCCATCGTGATCATTTGATATGCGAAGTGTCAAATCTACGTTTAGAACTGGATATGTCCGAGTTGAAACAGCTGCCGGAACAAAGGTAAGTGTACTCAATGCATAAGTTATGAAGGTGGTGGGAGGTGGGAATACGGGGTGTCATTATTGTGTGCAATGCTTAGCGCAGGAAATACAATGACTCAAACAGGCCGATTTGGCACTTCCTTGCATGCACTTTTTTCGATGACTGTGGTGGTGGCGCCGGTTTTGCTGCTGTCATCTAGTTACATGCGTGTGTTTGGGTAATTTGTGTGCTAGTAATATTTATGCTGGTATGAGCGTATGACTGTTGGTCCTTAGAAGTCACCCCTGCTGCGCGCGTGCCAATTGCACTGAATACTTCATGCTTGAAGGCTCAATTTGTACACGTATGGGGCTCAAGTGCGTCTGGTTTGAAGTTTTTTTCTAGCATTTGTACATACATACGCTGGTGCAGGAAACAAAAGTGTAAAAACCAGTTAAGTGTACCAACCAACTGAACGAAGCAACGGAAGCGAAAATGCAAAACAAACTTTTTATTTTTTTAAGCTTATATTAAAAATGATTTTGTTTGTACCCATATTATTTCACTATGTTTGTACCTACTACATGTGTTTCGCCACAAATATATGTATTTATGCGTGCTGCCATGTTTGTGGGTGTAATTTTTGGTTGTGCCGGTCAAATTTCCATAAATATACTACATACCTACTCGTACTTTGATCTTGATGAACAAGTTTTTGATATTAATTGGAGCATATTCAAGT